AATTAATATAACATATAAGTTGGTCTCTAAGATTATAACTTAAGTCAGAGAATAATTTGATCTTATAGGCCTTCTACACTAAGCCATTAGTCATAAATCAGAAGTTAACAAAATTGACGACTGTGATTGATCAATTTTTATCTTCTGACTTTCTAATTTATAACTAATAGCCTATTGTATGTTAAGATTGTTGTTGTAACTTTATGATATTATAACTTAAAAAATCTAAATGTAAAAATTGACTATGAATATACTGTCTTTTGTTAATCGCTTTTTCTTTTGGGAAACGACAGACTCATCCAGTGTACGAAATAATCGAAAAACGGGCGATTGAAGTGGCCAGGAGAATGCGAGCCGAATATTGGGCGATCTCGTCGAGAACGGGTAATGGGGTGTCCGAATTGTTTACGCGGGTCGCCGCGCTCTCCTTTCATGCAATGGTCTTGCGGGAAATGCAAAGTTTGAAACTCGAGCCGATCAACATCGGTTCGGCGACGATAAGTGAGTAGTAGAAATCTCGAATCTGTAACGCCGCATCGACATGGCAAAATACAAGTAGACACTTGTAGATGTAGTTTGATAAGCACAAAGTAAGGATAAATTATTCATTGTACTTTTTTCCAGCTTTGAAAAAACACTCGAAGACTGAGATGAAGCGACAGAGAATGCCAAAGTGCTCCAAATGTCCGACGTGACGATGGAATTTAATAAATATATTTAAGAGTTAAATTCGGGGAAAGTGCTATCGATCGAGTCTCATTATATAATTCTCCCCAGTAAACAAGCTGACACTATTAAGGACTAGTCAATTTATAGTTCTTGTATTTAAGATCGTCTTAAGTACAGTCTTAAAATTTTAAGCCAATCACGAATAGAACATTACTTAAGACGCTCTTGAGAGAACAGACTATAAATACTTGCTTAAGTTTTTTTTATTCCTATACTAGACTGCACTAAAACTCTGTTTCTTGCTTTCATCAGATATTAAATATATATCTATTTTATTTGTTTCAAAAAATGTTTAAAAAATGTATACTAGTTCAATTATAGAAAACGAATTTATTATTTGTTATTTTGTTTAAGAAGCATACCGTCAAAACTATTACGTCGCACACATTCTATCTTTATCATTTATTAGACGTGGAACAAAAGACTAATATTAAAATAATGTCATCTTGTTTTACATCTAGTGAATAATTAAGATAGAATGACAACAGCAATGGCACTATACTTCCCAAACACACAGTAAACAAAATATGATAAGAAATTAAAATTAGAGATAAAAACGGTAATTTAAATAGCTAATATACGCTCGCAAATAATTAATAACAATGACACGAGACGTGGGTTTTAATTCTTTTGCTTTTTACGAGATACTATTAAAGAATGACAACAGCATTGGCACTATACTTCCCAAACACACAGTAAACAAAATATGATAAGAAATTAAAATTATAAGATAAAAATGGTAATTTAAATAGCTAATATCTTTATGGGAGTTCGCGTCCTTGTGAATATTGAACTGATTAAGAGTTAAAAAAAATGATAATATTGTACTTATTTTATGATTTATTAGTTTAATAGACGTATTTATGAATTTAGAACTCAATAATACTCGATTTTTCTTTAAAATTGTAATTTCAGTGTTATCGTCAAAGTTTGATTATCAACAGAGATAATAACTGCAAAGAAAAAAATTGTAATTTTTCTACAATATATAGGATATTACAGCTTTACAAGTGTGCATATTTATTTATGGAACATTTATGTAATAAAAAAATCATGAATTTAATAATGTCAAATATTTATGTTAATAATAGCAAATTCATACAATATCAATTGTCGATAATGTCAACGTTCTTTAATTATCTCCGGGCCCTTTTTTATACCGTCGAAAATTTGCCCAAGGTTGACGGCCTTTAATAGTATCTTGTCGGTGCTTTTTACAAGAAAAAGATCGTTTGAATTTCGCGCGTCGACCGCGCGCTTCCGAGCATCGCCACTCGTGGCGTCGTTGTCGACTAATACGCGCTCATTTTTATCAACCATTCTGCAGCTTTTTCTCGGAAGAATGACAGCGAAAAAAGAACAACGGTGATATCGCCGACGGTCGCCGATCGTGACCGGATCACGCCGGATCGCTTACGCGACGTTCGTACGCGTCGTGGTCCTAAATCGTGAAAGTTAAATCCTCGAATTAGTGCACATTTACTAGAAACGACACAGCTGGACATAACTTCTGTCACGTGGTTGTCGCTATTGGTGACAGGAGTCAGCTTTCGTTTATCCAAACAACCGATCAGCCATTAGAAGGTAAATTTTGAACCGCATTCCGACAAGTGATAAAGTGGTGGGGATGACGACTCGTCGAAGAAGGAGCTTGAGGGTTCGACGGGGAGAAGCCACGAATCACGTGACATTAGAAGTTCGCAATCGCGTGATGATACGAATTTTGCGATCTTTGCAAAAAAAAATGCGGATGGAGATTCTCTTGAATATATTACACGCGTTCTGTATTTTAAATTTATAATTAAAATATAATTACGTAATTTGTTTCTGAGATTGATTTCCTAGAAATTAGATTATCAATTGCCAGTGCTGAATAAATATATATTTTATGTTATCGCTGCTACATATCAGTAGAGTCAGATGTATTAACGCACGATTCCGCTTACATTGAACGGTCGGATCTTCCTGTGGCACATAAGCAGCACCTTTTCCGTTTGTATATCGCGTGATTAAAACGTGTCACGTTCAAGACAAAGCTCGATTGAAAATATGTTAATTTTGATCTCAGTTTAACTTACTGTTTATTTTATATACTTTTCTAAGGCTCAATTTTACAACTCACGGTTAACTATTAATCGAGGTTCAAATTATTTCTTTTCTCTTCCAATTCTAGAATTGAAAAGAGATAATAAATAAGAGATATTAAACTTCGATTAAGTGTTAACCTGAGCTGTGAAATTGGACCTAATTTTAAGAATCAGAAAAAGGTGAACGTAATAGATGCATTTACTACACCGCTCACTGTGCGCTCAGTAAACGGCCATAGTATTGAATGCACCCATTAATTTTAATGCTGATTCTACAATGAGTCTGTAATCGTAAATCTTATGGCGAATTCAATTGGAAGCATTAGTGCACACTGGTGCATATCAAAGCCGCTGTACATTGATTTGATTTAAATATAAAAGTGAAATGCAAATATTTCGAATTATAAAATACGTATTTTACCTAATAAAAAGTACAATCAAATGTATTGAGTATTTCACGATTTAATCGATTTCTACGTTTATTTACAAATATATTTTTATATTTTTTTTTTTACGACAACTTTAATGTGCACCAATGCGCACTGAATGCGTCCAATCGAATTCGCTATTAGTCTTAGACCCGTTTCACAACTCATGGTTAACTCTTAACCGAGGTTCAACTTGTTTCTCATTATTTTCCAATTCTGAAATTGGAAAAAGACAATAAATAAGTTGAACCTCGGTTATGAGTTAACCGAAGTCATATACATTGCGTCATTAAGTAGAATCACATCGCTCATCAGATTGTCAGATTTGATGTAAGCATTTTCTCGCGACTCGACGTATAAAGGTCTTGTGGTGTCGACAGTTAGAGATACAATGAACTTCGGTTGTACTTTATCTAATGTGGCATTTGAATAAAGAAGAATGAACTAAGTCGTCGGGAATCATCAACCTGGAATGTGCGTTACTTATGTAATTTCTGTTTATAGTTTATATTGATACCTGAATTGAAAGGTCGAAATGTTTATTTTATTCGTATTGTTGCATTCACACGAAAATAAAGAATTTTCTGTGCATCTGAACAGCTGATGTAGGCTCCGATGGGCTTTTTTACAATTCACTGATAGATTCTTTCGAGCCTCATTTTATATATTTGTTTAATTAATTTAATATATATTATTACTTTTAGAAACAAATAAACAGTAAATCAAACTGAGATTAAAGTTATAATCTTACATCGGTGTTACCAGGTCTAATATCCGTTCTTATCAATGTAATTTAATTTTAATTTTGATTTAACAGCTCTTTACTTTTCTTTAATTTTAAAAATTTGAAGAAAATAAAGAGCATGCAAATTTAAATTAAAATTCATCTATGATAGAAACGAATATAAGGCTCATACAGTTATTTCTTATCAAGACCTTAAGTATACTTTTAAGTATAATGTGTTGTTTACAATACACACGAAGTAAGAAGAGAAAAAAATTGACTATACAATTACAGTCGATTATTCTTCTGACATTCGACTGTAATAGATCACTTTCTTATTCTTCGTATATTGTATGTGACGTATTATATTGCAATATATCATCTAAATCAGTTAGAGAGTCATATTAGGTATTAGCATTTTAAGACAATAGGCGAGTTCAAGACGGCAAAGCGGCTAGGCATGCTTGCCGAGCGTATGTGCAATTGATTCTTATCTGTGAATCCAACCAGTCATGTTTAATTGCTTGGTGAGCACCTAGCCGCTTTGTCGAGTTTTTCGCTTATTATTTAAGACATGAAATAAGAATGGACTGTAAATCTAGTCTAGGAAGTGTCGGGTTGATGGATGAATTTATATCACAACATCAGACTTTTTAATTCTTTCGACCGTATACTGCGTCGAGCACGTGCGAAAATAAATGATTACTCAGAAGAACATATCAAAAGATTATGCTTCATGTAGGACTTGATTATTTCTTTGATTCGATTATTTTCGCGATTGATATAAACGCACACACAAGACAATGATTTAATATTTTTATTATTTTGCAAGCTGTCGTTATCAGATAATGTGCAATCTTTTTAAATGTATCTGGGTGTGTGTGTATGTATATATACAGAGTGAATGAAGATTTGTAATGCGGCCGATAAGGCCGGAATCAAACTATGCATTGAAGATTGAGATTAAAGATTAAAAATTGAAATTTCATCAATAAGGACAAAGGAGTTTTAGCTCTTTTTGTTCTGATTTATCAAAATTCAGTCTTTCAATCTTCAATTTCATTCTTCAATGCATAGTCTGATTCCGGCCTAAGAGGATTCCAGAGATTGTTTTTATCTTGTGACCTCATTTACGTGTGTGCGTGCGTCCGTGTACGTGCGAGTGAAACGTGCGCAATTAGCGTGGAGAGAAATTGACAATACAAGCGGAGACTTGCATCAGTTTCCAGAAACCTTATCCAAGCCCGCTTTCTCTGCTCGCTACGAAAATCGCAACGATGCAATTGCCTTACGAAATAAGAATTTTTTTTCCATCATTTTAATGTTAATAAAGTTAATGTTGCGGACACTTGTTTTCTCATACAGAAGTAATTGACTCGATTATCACTGTAAAAAAAAAAGGTATTTAATTTTAAGATATTAAAATGTTTTATCCTTATCTCCATTTTTTAAACACTTAAAGACATTTTAGTTTTCAACTTTTTCAATGAACAAAATATTATGTGTTTAGATTTAAAACACTGTGTGAGAGAAAAAGTTTAAAACTAAAATATCTTTAAGTGTTTAAAAAATGGAGACAAAAATAAAACATTTTAATATCTTAAAATAAACACTTTTTTTTTAATGTTTGGCTCTCATCTTCAGCAGTTAATCAAAGAATTAAGAAGTTAATTAAAGGAATTGAGCAAATTAGATAGTTTCGAAAAATATGGAGATACATTTGATATTCGTACAAGTTAATTGCTGATTATATCATTAACGTTAGATGTCAATGTACAGAGATATTCGAGGAATTTGAATTTTACGTAAAAATTCAGTTAGTTTTAGTTATCTATACTTATCGCTACGTTCTGATATTTTATTCTTTTGTTGACATAGGTCTATTTTTATCAATACAGACTACTTTTAATCTTTGTTTAATTTACTTTTCGTTTTTCTTCAGTTCTAAGAAATAGAAATAGATCTCGTATTTAGAAAAAAATACCAAATTACAACTAAAATTACAGCTAAAATACTAAAAAAATTACAATGTAATTGCGACATTTATAATCAGAAAAATCGTTTGCGAGTTTCTACATAACGATTTTTCGGGGAAACAAGAAAAAATAAAAATTTATTCTGTTATTTCTATTATAATTCGGTTGAGATACAAATAATTTTATTTTATTATAATTCAGTATAGATCCTTGTAGTTTTGTAAAACATACCTAAAAAAAGTCTCATGGCGAAATATTACTTCTACGAAGCAAAATATGATTGAACTCGATTATATCTGTACCGTGTGTGTAAGTAAGGAGCAGATAATTTTATTTATTGTGATATTATTAAAAGCAAAATTTCCGACTCATCCGACTCTGTAGATGTCTTCATAAAAAATAAGTTAAAAGAAGTGTGTTATGGCAACAAAATTTTCTTTTACGAAACAAAATTTGGCGTAATATAATAGATTTTAACTCAAGGAGCACGTCAAAGTCAACCCCCATTGTATATTCCCAAAATATGACTTTATTTTTATTTAAAATGATTAATGGTTGCTTCTCAATGACGTAAAGATGACTATGATGCTGACAATTTTTCGTCATAATGAGAAAATGCATGATGCATTTTAAATCAAAATAAAGTTATTTTACTCTCCATTGACTTTGATGTGTCGCATCTGTACCGTGAATGAAGTGCAGATAAGTTGGCATCACTACTGGCCTTGAAATTAAAATTAATCCACATTGGTACGAATAGTAGTATGAACTGTAGAGTGATAAAGACGAGACGGAAAAGAGAGCTCAATTTCTTGAACGACACGTTTTGATTCCTTTAGATTTGAACTCTCGTCTGGATATTTTATAGATATCTTTTCACGGTAGGATAATCAATCAGATGAACACGTGTCTGATCTTTGATCCCAAATGCATTATTCAGTCTGTTCTGCCGCAACTCACAACGAAACATTACCAATATTGTTACTCATGCAGTAAGCTCTTATTACATCGAACACAATGCATTAATCATGTTCGAAATTCTTCAAAGAATTTACCGAGGAATTTATGTGGACCTCGATCTGTGGGCATATCGCATTGTATATTCCTTAATATTAAACTATTTTTATAGTAAAAAAATTTAGAGATTGATCTTGCTGATGTCACTTTATCTTATAGTTACGATTAACTATTACATCATCACGTGTCTACATAAGATGTAAAAAAATGTGTCAAGAGATAATTATTATATATCTTGTCTAGATAGCCTTGACAAAATATAAGATATCGCGGATCATGTAAAATGTATATCTAATTTTTTGTCGATTTTGCTTTGAATGTCTTCTTTATTGAAGATTTTATAAAAGTTTCAAGATGCTTCACAAATCATTTTTTTTCCTCTGCATTATTTTTCCTCTGATTATGAGAATTCATCAGATTTTTAAACAGCTTCACGATACAAGGCTCCTCATCGCAGACCTTTCGTTTTATGTCCTCCTTCCGATTCGCCTCGATGTTTTTATTCTTTTCGTCATTAGAATTCTATTTTTTTAAATGTTTTTTTTTACGAAGATACATTGAAATCTTATTTGAATAAAATTATCATAACTCTGGCATCTTTATCCGACGTTATTTTATCAATACCAAGTTTTAACTGCTCATTATTGATATAAATATTTATCAACTTATCATTAACCTGCATTTTTATCGAATATTTGTTTAATATCTGATGGCATTAGCATTTTGCATACCAAGTGTATGTTTAATTATACAATACGTTTGATCGGAATGTAAAAGAACGATTTCTGCTGTTGCATAAAAATTTTGTTTATAAATTGTTCTTAAATTGTAACAAACAAAAACTAATGTACAGATTGCTATGAATTAGAGAACCTCTAATAAAAATCTGAACACGAAACAGTCACTTTTAATTGGTAATGTTTTAATAACTTCTGAAAAAGAAAAAAGAGAAAAAAAATGAGAAAAAGATGAGATAAAAAAGAAAAAAGAAATAGGAAAATGTATGTTTTTTCTTCTTTCACATGATTTTGCTAAAATTAGCGACTTTGTATATAGAATACAGTTTGTAATCAGACTCTTAATAAAAAAATAGCATTAAAGAAAATATCGTAATTCCTCTAATATAAATATGTAAAAAACATTTACTTTTACGTATACTACTGCTTTTTCAATTTCTTTAGTCTTTTCAGGTTTGCTTGCCATGATTGTTGTTGTGCCAAAGAAACTTGAAATCACCAAAAAATTTAAAAGAACGAATTTGCTTCGTTATTTGGTTAGCACTGTCGTTTTTTTTCAACTTTAATTTCCTCTGGGATTATAACTGTGACAAATGTAAACATGAATTTTAATCAATTGACTGTTATTTTAATATTTTGATTCATTACTATTATATTTAACGTTTTTAGTTATAAAAATTTTAAGTTCAATCGTTAATAATTATAACTCACCTGGTTCCCGTCGCAGTAGAAAGAAGGATGATAACGCGTGAAGAGACATCATAATAAGCATACACTTGTGATTAAAATTGTCCCAATCTATTAACGCCATTAATATGAGCGGTGAATAAATTATCAGACTGGTTGTTTGTTAATTATTAACAAAATTCTGACGAATAATTCATGATCTCGCTCATGATGCCCCAAAAAGCGAAACATATGGAAACGCTCGATAAATTCTTCATGAAGAAACAATCGAGAGTTCGATATATTGTATTTGTTTAATGCGATACTGTCACTTGAATGTCATTTAATATTTAAATATGCTTTACGTCTAACTAATGAAGAAATTTGTCGAAATTGCACATAAAATTACGCTTTAACAGTACACGTGTATGATGCGGCAAGGCAATCATCTCCGCTGTTACAATCGCTGTAGATTAGATGCTTGACGTACATACATACGGATAGTATATCGCCGGACGTGCTTAAAATTGACCTTGCAGCTAATATGTAATTCACCGCAGACCATCTTTCTAAATTATCGTTCGTCGAATCAAATGGCTACTTATATTACATATTAAAGTAGAAAGAAATATTTTATTCATATATATATGTATACAATATATGACGAATAAAATCTTTTATTCATCGTACGTGTGTATATATACAGGATGCCTCAAACTGATCAAAGACAATTCTTTATAACACTTCAGGACGAAAAGTCTAATACGAAAATGCCGAAGCTATAACAGTTTTCAAACAGAAAAAAAAAATTAATTTAAAATTTACGAATGACAAAGGCTAGAATTTTGAATTCAATCTCAAGGACGGCAAATGGATCAGTTTGTGCGCGCGCGAAGATGCTGCATTTTATTATTGTTAAAAGAGGCACTCTGAAGTTCGAGGAAGCACTTTCACATTGATCTTGTCATCTCCGCGCATAAAATTCTATTATTTTCTGTTATTTGTAATTTTTAAACTCTTCCCATTTAAACTCTTTCCCATTTTGTCGCAATCTCGTCGTTTTAGTTTTAAACTTTTTATTTATCTTATTTATCTCTTGAAATTTTATTTATCTTAAAATATTATGAAGAAATTATTTTTAATTTAATTATTTTATTTCTTATTAGTTTTGGAACACTCTGTATATGTATTTTCTGCTGATTGTATAGATAGGTCAATTTGTCAACAGGAAATACACATATAATACATTTGTTTACATATACATGGCTATATATGAGCTATTAACGTCAATGAAAATATATTACGCACAACTTTTTATTTGTCAGAAGGAAAAGGAAAAGTGTTGAATGGATTTTGCATAGAGTAAAATTATGATCTTTTAATTGTGTGGTTTGGATGCCGTTAGGAAATAATTGCGGTGGAAAATTTTTTTCGTCGACATCAGATTGATAACGAAAACCATTTAATCACATAGTTACATTAGCGTGAATGCGTATCTCTTTTCACCGATCTCTTTTCATTGGCTTTCACTTTCTCGACCGCAACTGGAATTTCTATCTGCATACGCCGCTGTTTTTGAAGGCGCCGTGAATCCGAGATCATTTTATTTTGCATAAAAATGATACTATGTAATCTCGACATGAATCACACTTAATGTAGAAGTAGTTATTTGCATTTTAATCGCATGCTTCATATTTCGTATGATTTACATTTTTTATTTAAGTTATATTATAATTAATTTCAACGATGCGCGATTGTATTATTTATATAATAAATATACAATATTTATTATAACATTATAAAAATTTGGATAAGGTATAAGAAAGGTCTAATTATGCTAAATTTAGAAAACATATATTAAATGCATATTAATGAAATGTGAACGAAAAACAAATTATTATAAATTAATATATATTACAGACTTGCAACGCAGTTATAAAATCTGAAATAATGATCTTACAAATATATATATATATATAATTAATTCTGATGATAGTGCTAGCAATTTAATATCTGTTTACAAATACTAAGTTGTTATAGCATTATTATCAAAATTGACGTTCAATTTGACTTGTGAGATTATATTTCAAATCATTATTTCAGTTTATGATCGAGTTGCAAGTCCAGTAATAATCAACACGCAGTTTTAAGAGCTAAAAAGATGTATGTAAAATATATGTATATAGAAATGTCATTTCTATGAACATTATCTAATTATTATTATTATTATATCTAATTACATATAAGAATTTGTACATGTATTTAACCGCGACGGTTTATAGGCCTTTTCCTTTAATTATTTGATTTGCATTTCACTTATTGTCAAATTAAGTTAGTGTACAACGGCGATATATATTAATTAATACACGTTAGTGTATTCAACTGAATTCTTTATAAGAAAGTGATATTGATGCAATTAGGATTGAGATGCCATTAAACGCAGTTGTGAATGACGATTAATGTGACGATTGATGTGACGTCTATTTCTACGTCATGAACATTTCTAAGATGGTTTTATTATACGTTAATTATTCTCGACTTATGCCATTCATCGCAAAGACCTATTATAGGCTTTTTATTCGGGCACCGGTTTGAACAGAATTTGCATAGAGCTTGCATATAAAAGTTAACTGTGGTATCAGCGATAATAATCAGAATACAAATACGTCTATAATATTTCCGTAATGTATAAAGTCATCAATATAAAAATGATTGATTTTAATTCTCTACTAACAATGTTAAATTTTAAAGATCGATTTTTTGATTGTGAATTCTGATAAATAAATTTAAATTTGTAAAAAATACAATTCAGCTTCTTATGATAGAAGATTATTCAATTAAAACAAATTCAACTTATTATAAAGTCGCTTCTTTCATCAATTTTATATTAAAAAAAAAATCTTGTTTTAAATATATAATGATTTTTTTTTCTAAAATTTGTAATATATTTTTTATAGATTATGAAAAAAATATCTTTGTTAAAGATAACCATTATTTAAAAGCAAGAAAGTAAATTGAGCAATCACTTTTCTTATTGTTAGCAATAGAAAGAATATTTTTCTTTGTGCAGACGAAGGGTGAAAATCTGACATTATCGACAGAGACTTAAAATTGATGTCGGATAAATTCGTGCGATTTTGTATATATACTATAGCGCTTTCCCTTGGGATACACTGGGTGCAGCCTCGCACCAGTTGCGTGTAAGTGCTATATATTGCACTAGAGTGGTGTACACCATAGACATAGAATGCTTTCCAGCAAGGACACAATCAGACACAGAACGTAGGCAAACAACAAGGATGTAACTGCGTTACATTGTGTTTGATAATAAGAATAGGCCGAACGTGTCCTTTACTTTGACATGAAGACCAGGTAAAAAAGGACAGAGAGCAGATATTAGACAGAGAGAGCAAGATATTCACACCTTACTTCTCTCCCCTCCCCAACTCTTTCCTAGTCAGAAAGAGAAAGCTACACGGCATCCATAATCCGTTCTTTTCTACCTAGTCTTCACGTTTCAAACCTCACGCTCGGTCTACTCTTATTATTTCTATGGTGCACACCATGATGTACATTATTTCATTATTGCGCCGATCCTGTTCCCGCTTGACTTCCATTTTCAAATTTTAAATGCCATATCGGCTCTACACCGTCTTTTGAGTCGGTGTGAAGCAAAATCCCACTTCGTACATAAAATTTGCACTACATCATAATCACATGGTACACCGAATGAGTTCGCTTATCATCGTCATGAAAAAACGACATACTAGAGAGCGATAGTGCAGCCAAGAGAAACCGTTATAGGGAAAGCATTTTTCATGTGAGAGAGATAAGGTTCCTGAGCGATTGGAATTTTCGGGTTTCGAATTTTGTTACTTTCACGAGAAAAAATATTTTTCGAGCAGATATCGCGCAGTATATATATATATATATATATATATAATTATACCGAACGTTTGATTAGACGTCAGATGACTTGCTACTTTGTTACAATGTCTCATATCGCAGGGTAATCATGACGACGATGGCCGTGCATGTACGCATGTATATTGTATAACACAATCGTGTTCCGCCGGTTCTTCGTAATCTAGCCTCTCTGCGCGTTTTCAGTTGTATACTGATCGTCGTCGTGGAAAGTTCGTGCGCGTCATTGCTCAAACGTTGTGCGATACCACGTGCACACCTGCGAATTTTATTCTACGCTCCTTCGTGTACAAACAACATGGATATACCGGTAAGGAAATCAAATAATCGTTTATATAAGCGATGGCACGAGAAGATATATGAATTGTGAAGTCGTGATCTTCGGGAATTGTGAACTCTGAGCAGATCACGTATAGATCGCCGATACGTTTTATCACGCTGTTAAATTCATAATGGCAAATTATACTTACAATTTGAGTTATTTTTAATTATTTCTACAGATCGCTACCGTTCTTATTCAATATATGTCGTTAATTTCACTAAAATTCTAAAGTTAAAAACAAACAAATAATTTAAATCGGACTCTCAAACTTTAAAATAATAAATAACACTGTTATTTAAATAATAAATAAAAAATAAAAAAATTAATAAAATAAATAACTGTTCGCGAACATAGAGATATTCCAACGTTAAATTATTTATTATTTGGAAGTATTTTTTTATATGAATTAATACTCATGCGCACCTATTTCCGCACTGACTCTCATTAGCCTTAATTTTATTGTTATTTATTATTATAAAGTTAAACTATTTCATTTTTAAAAAATATATCAAGCAAATGTATTAAATTTGACTAAAATTTAGTTCAAATGTATATGTTAACAAGGACGTTGTTTAATTTGATGCAAAAATAAATTGATTTACGTTTTGATATACATGCATTTAAAAGTATAATAAAACTATAAGGTTGGGTATTTATCGTTGTTTTTTTTTTTGATAGTGTACATCGAGACAGGCAATCTTTTAGACATATCTATGTTAAATAGAGTAAATGATTTTGTAATACTATAAGTTTTGTGTAAATAAAATTACAAAGAATGATTTTGTTGAAATATCTAAAAGTTAAATACTGCATTTTTAGATGTTTCAATAAAATCGTTCTTTTTCCAAAAGTATACGCGCGGTTATTCTTCTCAAGCACGAAGAGAACAAATTTATTACAAACGCTATCTTATGCCATGACGGCAAAATTTTATGCATGTATCAATATGCAAGATCGCAAATTATTATATTTGCAGGTGTAACGAATTTTTATCCTTTTTTGCACTTGCTATAAAAATT